TACTAGCGTCTGTGCGATGCTCCAGCTGCTGCTGGAGGATCGCACAGGCGCTGTATGCGTCCTGCGCATGCGTGGAAGCGCAGAACTCGTCAAAACCGGGTAAGAAACGCGGGCAGGCGGGCAGGTGGACCCTTCGGCGTTCCCGGAAGTTACTTACTTCCGGGTTCGCCGACCAACCGGTTCGCGGGGACTGCCGCAAACCACCTGAAACCCACCCCTGAACTGGACTGAGCAACATGAAAACATGATGCACCCTGGCCTCAAAAGTTCAGGAGGAGAAAAGGAACTTTCTGTAACAACCTAAATTGTAACACAACTGCACTGTCCTCCCACGTAACGGAATAAATACACCCTTCAAAATATAGTAACTGAACTCAGGAACTGATGCAAAAAAGGTCATAAAAAGAAAATCACTGTCAAAACCTAATAATTTCTCTGACTTACTTCCTACTAAGTTTGCAAGAGAGGAGTCAAGATCACTTCCAATTGGTTTGGTTGCAGCTGAACCAGAACCAGTAGCTGTGCCTCCACTGGATAAAGGCTGACCAGTTTGCATTGTAGTGGGCATAAGAAGATCACCTAAGCCATCAAACACTGAAGATTTAAGAAAATCAATAGATTAGGAAAAATTCTTGTTCAGACAATTAAGCTTTCACGTAATAAACAGAAGCTTAAATGGAGAATTTACAACCTTTTAAAAACATACAAAAACCACTACTGATCTTTGAACCGTCACACAAATTTAATGCCAATGTAATGCCAATGTAAGGCATGCATGCTTTTTGACCAACACACTGAAATAAATGAATTCCAAACATACTACAATAATACAAAGCATTAGACAACACTAATTTTTTAAACTATGAAAACAGTCCATGTTGCTGTACCACACACTTTTATGTTTTTAACAACAATATATGGAAGAATTGATTTACATATTATTGTGCCCACAAATCTAATGAGAATGTTACCATTTTCTGGAACAGTAAAAAAAAAGGCAGTTTGACATTACTTTCATCCAGTATGGCCCCTAAAACCAATTCAGGTTTTCATGTTCCATTTCTGGGTTTTCCCCACAACACTTGAACCAGAGTTTTTAATATCTGATTCGAAAGGAATAATAATTTATTAGCCAATTAGCTATTTAAGACTTACGTCAGGTTTGTCTGAAATGTGAGTATTGTAACTAATTATTATTTACTGATTTACAGATTTGGAAGGGAATCATAATAAAGAATTGTCTCTTATGTAAGGATTATTTCTATTAAACTATTGACATAACAAAGGAAGCTAGAAAGCAAAATACTACAATACTACCCTTTGGAACGAACTCCCCGCAGAGATTCGGACCCTCACCTCTCTCCAGGCCTTCCGAAAAGCCGTC